AGCTTTGTGCATGGCAGGTTCTGTAATGGGGATGTTACACAGACACAAAATCTACCTGAAAGGCGGGGGTAGTGAGGGGGGGTCGGTCTCTTCTCCCAAGGAACAGGCGATGGGACAAGAGGAAACGGCTTCCAGTTGTGCCAGGGAGGTTTAGGATGGATATAAGGAAAAATTTCTTCACCGAAAGGGTTATCCAGCAGGATACAGGCTGCCCAGGGCAGCGGTGGAGTCACCATCCCTGGAGGGATTTAAAAGATGTGTAGATGTGGTGCTGAGGGACATGGGTTAGTGGTGGGTTTGGCAGTGCTGGGTTGATGGTTGGACTCAATAATCTTAAAGGTCCCTTCCAACCTAAACGACTCTCTGATTCTATGAAGTCTATTACATGTCAACAGTTACCTTTATCAAACAAATCTGACACCTCAAAGAATGACATTTGTTTTATGAGGTTTTCGACTGGTAATTATATTCTACTCTTTAACGCTTTATCAACTGCCTGCAGTCTCTGCTTGTTTATTTTCTGCCGGCAACTGATATCAGACTCGCAGGTTTATCATTAACTGGATCATCCCGTTGCCCCTTCCCAACGCCAGCGCTCTGCCCGTCTCCTGGCGCTGCCCCAGCATCGTACCATTACAGAACGCAAAAAGTGAAAAATCACCACCTGGAAGACGCGTACAGCTTCAGTTACTAATGGCTCAGAGAGCGTTTCATCATCTGCATGTGATACACGCGCACCGCCCTGCTCCCTTCCAAATAAAGAACAGGAACGCTGACAGAACATGCCTGGGCTTTCTGCTTCATTTGTAATCCCCCAAACCCGAACACCCAAACGGGCAGCAGTTCGGATTTTTCAGGCCACTCGAACGCAGAGACGCAGGAGGAGCGGGAGGTTTTCACCCCGCGGGCTGCAGAGCTGAGACCTTCTCTGCTCCACCCCGGCGCAGCTCTGGCGGCACACGCCAAGGCACGCGGTCCCCAGGAGAGACAGCACCGACCGCTGCGGCACTGCCTGGCAGAAGCACCGTGCCCTGTTGGTGCTCTGGCAGACTGTTGGCGTTTTTGCTGACAGTCAAGTGACAGATGGAAAATGTTGATTTTCAATTGTTTGTAACTCGGTGAGATGAGGAATGAGGAAAAGGTGTCGATGTGGGCAGACAACTTCTTGCTCAACGTGTTTCGTATGTGCCCACAGATGGACAACTCCTGCAAAAGCCCTAAGACACCAACTTAGCCTCTATTGTGCAACTTTGTCCACCGCTGGGCACCCCTTGACTGCCCGGAGCACGAAAGAGCAGTGATCGGCTTTACAAAGCACGCGAAGGGTCAGCCATGGAAGGCAAGAAGAACATGACTCTGGCCACTGAGTGCAGAGAGTCTCAGTGCCACGCTTGCCTGGGACCACCGACCTGACCCTGCGACTCTCTGAAACACCCTCGGACAGAAGGACATCAGCCCAAAGCCACAACCAAAGCGGGCACAAAGGTGCCAGAGCTGGTTAGGCAAGCTGCAAAGGAAAGCTGGGTCACCGCGGGGTGAACGGCAGCAATTTGGCCGATGGGAAAAAATAACATCTCTGCTGCTGTTTAAAACAGAGGGAACAGCACATGAACGGTCCTTCAGACACAACCTCAGAGTATCGCTCCACGCTGCCCGGCCTCTTCTGGGAAAGACGGAGGAAAAGCAAAGAGATGCTCAAACCCCGGGAAACCGCAGCTCAACCTGAGCAGCTGGAACAGCCCCGTGCGGAGAGCAGGTAAGAAAAGCAGTCAAGAGGCTGAAATAACACCGGAGGTCAAGAATGAATGTTATACAGTAAAGCTGACCACAGGGCGGACTGGTCAGATGGTTGCTTGTACTATGCAAGAATTTCTGGGAAAAAAATCCAGTTTCTGAAAAACACGGAATCCTGATTCAGCCTCGGTTCCTGGTGATTCCCAAGAAGATGAACTACAGAACTCCACAACTGCAAACAACTTTGGCTGAACACTCATCCGAGCAAAGCTCCTCTTACAGTTGCTCTTGAAAAATTCCAAGTACAAAGAGAGGAACACGTCTGACAAACAGGTTAGCTCACCGAGAAGACGGCGTGAAGATTGTCAGTTCTTTTTCAGCTTCCCAACTGGGCTGACTCAATAGAGCATGACAAACCGCCCGTGCTGAGTCCGCAGTGCCCGGCGCCCAGGCTGGGTTTGTACCCTACCGCAGGGAGCTGAGCTCTCCCCAGCCGTGAGCCAACCAGTGGTTGAAGACGCTGCTCCACCACGGGAAGGGAGACGCGACACCAGCACTTGCAGCCCACCGACAGGCCACCAGGAGAAGCCGCAACAGCCGGAGACCCCGGGCGTACGGCGCCCCAGAGGGAACAGCGGCTGCGGTTCGATGCTGCTGCC